TTAAAATATAATTATTTATGTAATAAGTATTAATCTTGTTCATGTAAGTAAAAAATAAACAGCATTAAATTTGTTATAAAAAAAAAGATAAAATTATTCAAATTACTAAATTCATAAACTTATTGACTTTAATAAAAACACTAAAAAACTTAATAAAAAATTTAGAGTAAATTTAAAAACTTAACACAAGTTTTACCTTTTAATAAACTCTTGAACTTACCAGAAAATGATTTTTACTAAATTAAATTATAAACAATATGTTCCACAAATCCACATTGTTTATGTTAGGTTTGAAGGAGAGAAAGAATTTCGGGAGTGGGGTGGAAGGAATTTATCGTCCTAATTTAACGACATTGAAGTTGTGATTGTGAAAAATTTTCCCCCAATTTTTTTTCAATATAAAATCCACTCGTTGTTGCAATAACCATGTAAAGTGTGAAAATTTTGAGAAATTGAGATCAAGGCTATTGATTGGTTGTAAAATTTTCTCTCTTAGCTCTAATTCAGTGGTGTTATTTTATTCATTTATAATTATGGAGAAATTTATTTATTATAATAATTAAATTTTATTTTTTTTATTTTTAGTTAGCAGTATAATTAAAAAAAATCTTAACATATATATTTTTTAGAGATAAAGAAAAAAAATTGAAATATCAATATTTAGTTTCTTTTTTTAAAAAAAACATAAGGAAATTTTAAAGAAAATGAGATAATTTAACTATTATTACAATAGATAAAACTCTAATATTTATCAAAAATTTGATACATCTTAATTAATGTAGCTCAAATCACAAGTGGGTAACATGATAACTAAATTACACTATTTATATTTAAAAAATAAAACAACAAAATCAAATAAGATGAATTATTAATGTGAGTGAAATTTAGAGACAGTCTCAAGTTTACGTTGTTGTTCTCCTACTTTCACCTATTCATATTTTATTCTAATAATATTTTTTATTTAGAATTTTTTTAATTGTGCCATAAAATATATTTTTATTATATATTTATATTAAAAGAATATAAATTAATTTTTAATTTATTAATTATTTAATTAAATTCATAGATATAATAATATTATTAAAATTAATATCTATTTTTATATTTTTATATAAATTTATAATAAAAAATACTTTTAAAGACATAAATTAAGAAAAATCCTTTTATTTATTTCTCATAAAAAAGGTTGAGAATAAATTGTGAAATAGGCCTTAATAATAAAAATAATGGTGTATACAAATAGAGAATAATAAAAACTTAATTTTGTGTCATATCATCATAATTAATATTTTTTTATACATCATAAGATTAATTGTTTGATGCAATAGGAATTTGAATTTTTCACTTTAATTCAAAAGGTAATTCCTATTATACTCGTGGCCTAAGAGTATGAACCAGCGGCGGCGTAACAGAGGCATTGCCATCAACTAAGGTTTCTACGAAGGACTTTGTTTCTGAAGGCAATCTTCCATTAGGGGAGGCCGGTGCAGGAGGGAAAGTGGGAGGTGTTGGATCTACTGGAGGGGGAATATTTGGAAGAAGTGCGTGGATGTCAGGGCGGCGGGCGGCGGAGCAGGCTGGACGGGGGCAAGCGCCGCCGGTGGGTGTTCGGGGGGGAGCGATTCCATGTGTCGTATTACCACCTTTATGGTTAAATGCTAAATTTGGTCCCTCAACTTTAGTGAGTTGTACATTTTTGGTCCTTCAACAATTTTTTGCACTTTTTTAATCCCTCAACTATACGAAATGCACTACGTTAGTCCTTTTGTTAATTTTGACTGTTAACTCTGCTTATGTGGCATTTTTTATATTTTTTTTGATGATATGGAGAGCAAAATTTAAAAAAGTGATGATGTGCACAAAAACTTTTGCCATGTCATGCCACTGTGGCCAAAACGCGTCAAATCCGTCTAAGTGGGTCCCACATCACCACTAAGAATTGTTTTTTTGTCCATTGATTACTGTTTCTGTTCTTTCCATCGACTGGTTATTGTTTCTGTTCTTTCCATTGACGATGTTCTTTCCATTTTCAAGATTGAAATCATTTAAACAATACTTCAAAAATATGAAGAAAAAAATCTCAAAAATCACTCACAACAACCTACAATTTGGATAATTTCTTAATAAACAAACATATAACAAAAAAAAAAAAAGTCGAGCTGGGTTCACCGGAACCTAACCTGGGTTCCACCGAACCCAGCTCGATTCACTGTAATCCGGTTGTCCAAAAATCCCTCGCAACAACCTGCAATTTAAATAATCTCTTGACAGACAATCATATAACAAAAAAAAAAAACCAATTGCCCAAAAATCCCTCACAACAACCTGCAATTTGGATAATCTCTTGCGAAACAACCATATAAACAAAAAAAAAAAAAGTGTAGCTGGGTTCGGTGGAACCCAGCCTAGGTTCGGTGGAACCCAGCTCCACTGGGTTCCGTTGAACCCAGGCTGGGTTCCACCGATCCCAATGGCTGGGTTCCGTTCGATGACCTGAGGAAGAAGAGGAAGAAAGAAAAAGAAAAAAGAAAAGAAAAGAAGAAGCTGGAATAGAATTATTTTATTTTATTTTTTAAAAATATAAATAATAATACGTGAGTTGACATGAATTGTAATAAAAAAAATTTTATGTGGACACGTTTTTAATTTGTTTTTGTCAC